TGGCGAACGGCTTCAACTTGGCGCCAAGCCAGTAGAAAATTACTCAATGATTTATGGTGTTCAACAAAAAAACGATAATCTTTCCGTTGTCCCGATTTTAATTTTTGTTCCATACAATTAGCCATCCACCGCTGAACGGCTCCAACTTGACGCCGCACGGCATCGAAAACAACGCCGTGCTTGGGCCAAGGGCTTCACTAGCCAGATGTTAATTGGGTAATATGGTCCCCCCTTACTGCTCGATGCCGTCGCCAAAGAAGAAGAAGCCAGTTTATACGGCCGGGCCCTAACTTGGCGACGCCGCCTCGATGTCTTCCTCCCCGGGCGCGCGTGTAAACAAAGTGGCATTGAGGAGCACGGGGGAAAGAGGAGCAGCACCCGATTTTTGCCCGGACTCAGCTAGCTTATCTTGTAGTTATTATTAGCCTAGGTTGGGTTGCCCCCGGCAGCGAAGCAAACCTATAATAATCGGGCCAATCACGGGCTGATAGCGCCGAGCCCAATTTTTAAAGGGACTAGGAAGTGAAAATGCGCATGCCCAGATGTCGAAAAATATCGGGGCTCTGCCTAAAAGGATTTCGCTAGCATAATGCCGAGATTTGGTAAGGTCGAAATTCTATAATTCACAGTGTCGAGATTTCAAAATGTCTAAATTCATAATGTCGAAATATCGATATTCGAAATGTCAAGCCTTCGACAGCTTTTCCTTAGTATTTCTGAGATTTTTCGGAAGCATTTTTCATTTTGATAATATTCTGAAATTTCAACATTTTGTGGAAATCTGTCTAAACGTCCAAAAAAATTCGTTGCTACATGAAATGCCAAAATTCAAGAAAGATTTTTGACAAAAAATATACTGACGCCTACTAATTGCGCGTCGCGTGTCCTGAAATCCATAGCCGTGCCTTGCGGACCCCTTTAACGAGCTTTCTAACCCCCGTTCAGCTGACACCCCGGGGCGTAAAAACTACGCAATGTACATGGTTGTTGGGCGTAGTCTTTTCCGGGGCTGGGCACTTGTCAGCAGGGGCCCATTGGCCGGCCATGAGCCCCCTGGGTGTGTTACACACCACCTGGACACCTGGGGAGGCAAGGAGCACGAGCTGCTGGCCGGCCACCGGGAGATGGAGTGCCGGAAAATGGTTGTAGTCGGTTTTGATCCATCGCAAAGGGCTCTCGCTCCTCCCTCCCCCTCTCTCTCTCTCTCTCTCTCTCTCGCTCTCTCTCTCGCTTTCTCTCCCCTATCTCTTGCTCGGCCGGGGTCCAAAAACGTGTATGTGCATTCCGGGGCTTAACGGACAGACAGACAGACCGCGGGGGATGACAGACAGACAAACAACCCATCAAAATACGAGATCCACCCCTTCCTGGACGACACGAGGTTCTCGCCTCTCCGCCGGGGCCCAATTACGATCTTGGAATTAGCGGGAAAAATGGGTACCCCCGATGGCAGCCGTTGTATGTCACACTCCTGGTGTAAATGAATGTCGAGAAATTACCCAAAATGCCGACATCAAAATGCCGACAGCCGAGATCACGACAGTCAAAATTCCAACATTTAAATTTTTGCTAGGCCAAAATACCGACATTTAAAAATCCTTTCTACGAAACTATCGACAATCAAAATACCGACCGTCACATTGACTGGCGCCAAAATGCCGAAATTCGGAAACCTAACAGGCCAAAATACCGACAATCAGAATCCGAAACTTCAAAGTATTGATAGTTCAAAATCCCGACAGCCAAACTTCCGATACCCCAAGATAGCGGGATTAAAAACACCAGATAGAGGGCAAAACCCCGCCATATTAAACCCCGAAATTCGAAACCTGATACACAACAATACCGAAATCCCGAATCCCGACAATCGAAATCCCCTATGCGAAAATGGGCAAGCCAAAACTCGACACCCCGATCGTTTTCAACAATTCTGCGCAAACCTGATTTTTTAAATCGATATTTACGGCCAAAAAATACCGAAAAACCGACCTGAAACGGGACCCAGTATGTGTTCTGCACCCAGCAATAATTCTCCGTGTACTGCCTCCATGAGCGCGTAAACTGCGCCGGCACGAAACATTCGATCGGGTGGCCCACCGAAAAAATTATGTTTTGCTACGCAATCCAGCTGAAAAACCCGGCTTAAGTTTTTCTCCAAAAAACCCGACAGAACAAATTCCGACAGGCAAAATCCGGACTGCCAAACTGTCGACTTCCAGTACAGTCATTTTCCATCACTTTTTTGCCGGTTTTCTGGCGCACTGGGCTTTTGGAATGAAATCGGTATTTCAGCTGTCGGCATTTGGCTGATGGGAATTCGCCTGCCGGTAACTCGACTCGAAATGTGAGTTGGTCTTTCGGGGTTTTGCGTGGTAGGGGTTGTGGTTGGAAATCGTAACTTGTTCGGCCCTGATCTGGTATGTCGGCATTTTGGATGTCTATATTTCAATCACCCGATTTCTGGTACATTGATATTTTTGGAATGTCAGCATTTCCGTTGTCGGTATTTGAGCTGCCGGTATTCTGGGATTTTTCCGGCGCAACTGAGCGTCCGGATTCCCCAGCATTCGTCTCCACGAGCCGAAGTGCTTGTTTTTCTGGCTTCTTCTTCTTCTTTCCTACACCCCGGAGACTTTTTGCTCCCCCTCCGCCTCTGGAGCAGCAGCATACGCCAAAAGGCAAGGCGCGGAACTCCAAACCCATAAATTCCCCAAATCCGGACTGATGGGGCAGAGACCGCCGGGGGTCGGTTCATGCTCACACCCACACGCACAAATCGAATTTGGTGTGGCGCGTAGCGTGGAAAGTGGACAGAAAGACACCCAGACCCACAGACAATCCGAACACAAATGAATGTGCCGCTGCGGGGAGCTTATGGATTTTTTCGGGGTGGAGTTGTAGAGGCCGAACTCCTGGGGACGCGCTTGGGGCTATTAGCCAGCCGCATGTCGTGAAAAGAGCAAAATCTTTTTTTTAGTTTAAAAACTACCCTAAAATTGAAAATTGAAATAGAAACGTTCCTAATAGTTTATTTAGCCAATCCTTTTGAAAAAATGTAAAAACCCAGATTGGTAGTTTTTTTCAAAAATTAACATTCTTAGAAATGTTAATTTAAAAGACGTTTTTAGCTACCACAACGTAAAACAAGGTAAATGGCAAATTAGCAGGTTTTTACAAATAAAAATACAAACACTCACCCAAAAACTTGAAATACTTAAGAAATCCTTAAAGCAAAAAGCAAAGCAAAAATTAGCTTTTAGAAACCCTAATTTGTCTCTGCAACCTTAATTGCACTTTAAATACCATTAAAAGGTAAAAATTTTGTTATAAGATTCGAGCTAAATGCAAAAATAAACCTTACAAACCACGAACTCTTCCGCTTTAAAAACGCTGAAGTTGAAAAAGCTCAAAACGGCTCAAAACCCCTAAAAAGCGCTTAGACTTACCGTATTGCTTTGCGGAGACGAGGAGTGCAAACATGAGAACAATGGTTGACGTATAGAGGTAATGCAATCGGTCGACAAAGTCATCGTCGACGCGTGGTTCAAGGAATCTGAAGTTTGTCGTCAATTCATGTCTATTTTGCTGGCTTTTAGCGCTTGGTTGGGCGGAAGAATTTCTTAGCGTTTGTAAATCTGTGGAAGTTAAAATACAATACGCTGACGATTCTGAAAAACATAGACTTTATTAGCTTAAATTAGTCTGAAGTGAGGCACGGACCACGTGGACCCTCATTACGGCAAGAGATAGTGCGAAGAGAGAGAGAGAGAGAAAGAGAGAGAAAGCGAGATAGAGAGAGTGTGTTAGAAAGAGAGGGAGAGCGAGAGCGAAAGAGAGCAAGGGAGAATTAGAGAAATGAGAGAGAGAGAGAGAGAGAGAGAGAGGGATCGAGAGTAAGCTCGAGAGCTATATTCAAACGTAAGTAGATGCCCAAGTAGTCCTACCTGAACCGGTACCTTAGTGCTTTAAACCCCAATCCATTACTTCATAATCGAAAGCGACATCTCGCGCGCAATATCGCAGCCCGCCTACCGTAGTGCCGTCGCGAGGAAATGGACCCCTATCCGATAGCCGCCCGGCATGCTGCTGCTGGGTCCTCTTGTAGATGATCGCGGGCAAAGACGGACGGCCAACGATGATCCAAGAGGCTCACCAACCGGCAGAAAAAAGGGGAGCAGCAGGAGTGGCCGGGGGAAAACGAGAGGAGGATGAGCCTTTCTCAGGGAGGGGAGCCTCAGTGTGGGCCATGGCCGGCTGGGCACCGCCCATCTTGGCCCGCCCGGCTTTTCTGGCCCCCGAAAAACGACACATATAGCAGGCAGCCGAGCACTACCGGGAGGGGGAACCCGGATCCGATATCCTGACACATGTACACTGTTTTGTCGCGTAGTCGGCTGGCGGTGTTTTAGTAAAGTGGCGTACTCGTTCATGTAGAGCGCCACCAAAATTATGGACTGACCTGTTAGCGGGGGGGGGGGGTTCCACGGAGAAAACTAATTTTTTTTTCCCAGTAATCCTGCACCGCCCTATAGCAAAACATAAACCATTTTTATAGCATTTTATTCACGTTTTAGATATGAACAGCTTATAAATATTTAAAAAATTTCTGACGTTTTAGCGAAAAATGTATGAAAAATGACCAAAAATGTGAAAATTTTCCAATTTTTAAATTGTTAACTTTTTTTGTAACCTAGCAATCAAAAAGTAGTCAAAACGCATAAAATACATTTTAGTTTTTTTTTATAGGTGGGCATAGGCAAAAAGTAGTTTGTCGGCACAAGAACCTTTCCCCCGCTAACAGTTCAGTACCAAGCTGCGTACTCGTTCAGCTCGATCGCCACCAAAATGTTGAGCTTATCAGCCGAATTTCAGACAAATTTGCAGTAAAATAGTTTTATTCAACAAGCGAGGAAAACACAGAAGAGCACACTTGTCGTGTGTACGAGGCTAAAATCGGGAACAGGGTAGATAGGAGTTGAGCGGAGCGCAGGAGATCCTCAGCAATCCGTCTCGGCCGGCACGTTCGGCTTGCGGTGCCGCATGGAGGTGGACGGCTGGAAAATAGGATAACAAAATAATAGCGTTTCGAAAACCCGTGTAATTGTTGAGGGAAAATGGAAGATATGACCAAAATAGACGGGAGAATACAACTTACGCCCCCCGCTAAGAGCCCAGAACCAAACAAAATTTCCATGCCGCTGTTTTTCGACGAAAAGAAAATAAGTTGGGATATGAGAATGAAGACAAAAATCCTTGGTATGAAATACCTTGTCCTCGTTATCGCTATAATCAGGCTCGTGCTCGTTTTCGTGCTCGTGCTCGGGGTCGTCATCTTCTTCCTCGTCGTCATCGCTGTCAAGCAACGGGTCGAACTCGCCGCTGTCGGACACCTGAAACGTTGTTGTTTAGTTTTCTGATACATAATTGCTTCAACTTTTCCAACCAATATATGAGAGAGAAAGTGAGAGAGACACAGCAAAAGCGAGAGAGAAACAGAGAGAGAGAGCTTGCCAAAAGCCTCAAAACCGACTCCATGATTGAGCACATCCCTCTCGCGGCATCCCTCGTGGTTGCACGGACCGTGGACCACTTCAAAAATTGAATTTTGAGGCCAAAACTCTGCACTCACGATCCGGCACGAAAGGTTGATGAGCGTCATGGGGATGAGGAGCAGGATGATGATGTGGATGGCCAGACCGATGCCGACAGCCAACTGCTCGGCCGGTTCCGAATCATACTCGAGGCCCGAATAACTATAAAAATCGTAACACTATAATAATCATCGTGCAATTTCTTCTAAATTTCTTCTTTAGGCGTAAGTGCAGTTTGCCCCCCAGTCGGCCCCCACGTAGCATATCTCGGCTCCCTGTTCATCTACAGGCGTGTAAAGTATGCCAAAATACTCGCGAGAGCAAGACAAACATTTTGGTATACTTTAGGCACATGTAGATGAACGGAGCCAGATACAAAGTTCGCGCCGGCTGGGGGGGAAACTGCACTCTAACCGGTTCTCCGATTCGAAAGCCCTCGATTAATCTTCGCGGCACGCTATCTTTCTCTCTGGAGCGATATAAAATTCACTTTTTGTACAGGGCGGCGACGTTGCCCGAGATGAAGCGGAGCAACGGCTGGTCAGCCAGGTAGCGGAAGTACGAGCCGAGGAACGTCTCGGCTGTCTGTCAAATGGATTCGATATGCTTCGACGCGCCAAACTCACCAAGTCAAAAAGCCGCGCGGCGACCATGGTTTTTGTTGTAAAGAGAAAGATGATTTCTTTCTGGGTGGAAATCGTGGCTCTTGCGTCATTCTAATTTTGGATGGATTCATCGCTTGGTTACTTCAAGAGTTTTTGGCTTTGCTGTTCGTCGAAAACACGGCTTATCTCTAGAAAAATACAGGTCGAAGACCGCTAATTATGGCATCGCTTGAAAGCCCAAAAAACCAGATACCGCTACGAAATGAAATTGATTTTTTCAGACATTCTAGCCGAGAACGCCAACTTCCGGTTCGTTTCGATGAAAAAACAAGCAAAACTTGCAGCAAACCCCCAGGGTGCAACAGCAGAAATTGATAAGGAAAAACCAGAATTCGATTTTTCTAAAATTCAGGTCTGAGGCAAAAAACATCAATATTGATATTCTTGCTCGTTTCGGGAAGATTTCGCTATTCTTCAAGGCCGAGACCGACGTTTCTTATTTTCGAGATACCCCTAATTTACAACTTGTTTCACGTCCCGTTAAATTGTCAAATTAGATTGCCTATCTTCTCTACACCAAACTTTAAACTTTATGTTGTATCTTCTGTAACTTGTAATTTTATTGTATGCAATTTTTTCCATGTATATATTCTTCGTATTTTTAGCTGTGCGAATTTAGATCGGATGCCATTTATAGATGAAAATGTCATATCATAGAAATGATCTAGCGTCGCGGGGGAGATCTGGGAAGACGGGGTGTCCCTGATGGTGGGCGAGGCCCTGATGCCAGTCTATTTCTGGGGAGAGGTGGCGTAACCTCCGGCGGCGGCAGGGGCAGCCGGGCGCGTGCAATGACTGAAATCATGTATTTTTTAGCTAGAAAAAGCTGTTAGATTTAAGTTGGTAAACAATATCTCATTTCGGTTTGGTGCAGCTAACATTCGGGCTTGGCACTTTCTAACTTCGAAAGCTGGATTGTCTCATAGGGGTGTATTCTATACCAAAAATGTTCGACAGACCACGACGAACATTTCCTTTGGTATACTTTACACACCTGTAGGACACCCTGGAGTCGAGATTTGAAAGTTAGGGTAGGCTGGTGACTAACCAGAGTTTGCGTAACTTTCTAGAATAAGGCCCTCTACCGTACCTGGGCAACGTGGGCCGGGGGAGGTGGGGGCGGGGCGGTCGGGGCGGCGTAGGTGTGCTGCACCGGCGGGTTGTAGGCGGGCTGGGCGTAGCTCGACTGCACGGGGCGTGGTAGACGGGCTGGGGAGCCTGGTACATCGGGGCTGAAAAAATTGATGATATTTTAGCGGTTTAAGCCTCAGTTGGAAGTTGAATTGGTACATAAAACCTTCACTTACCGGCGGGCCCAGCGCATCCCTGTCCACCGTAGCCGACCTGCCGCTGCGGGTACGACTGGAACGACTGCTCGGGGTACGACTGCTGGAACGACTGCTGGGGGTACGAGGGCTGGTACGACTGCTGGAAGGACTGCTGGGGGTATCCCTGTCCACCTAAAAGCAAAATTACTACCGGGAGATTTGCGCATACCTCCGCATCCGCATTCGCCGTTTCCACTGCCCAGGCCGGGGAAGAGGCCGCCGAGGAAGAAGGCGCCTGATTGGCCGAGGAAGAGAGCCAACAACACCACGGAGATCATCTAAAGAAAGGCGCATGGGTAAGCTGTGGAATGTTCAATACGATATCGTACTGTACTAACAGAGAGATAAACGAACAGATAGGCTAGCGGGGAGGCAGCGAGTGCTAGCCCGGGCGTGGCCCACCCGGTGTCCTTTATACCTGGATCCGCTATCCATCTCCGGCATTGACCTTCAGCTTTCAGCAGCTACCGGAAGGCCGGGCGGTCTAATGAGGGGGACACCCCGTTTGGCAAAGGATGACCTTTCGACTCTGTGTGCAGCCTCGCTTCTTCTCCGTTAGGTTGAACCCGGCAGCAGCTATCCTGCATTTTATCACCGCGGCCCCGCTCTGAGATCCCCGGCAAGACAGGGATAGAGCCGTCCGTCCTGACAACGAAACCAATAC